GCTGTCACTGCTCTACCACGCGGCGCCGCCGCCCCCGCCGCCGCCGCCGCCGCTGCTGCTGGCCGCCCTGCAGCAGACGGCCAGCAAACTGGACCTGCCCGTGACGCCGGCGCCCGTGCCGCCGCCGGCGCAGGAGCCGGGCCCGGCGCCGGCGGCGGCCTCCCTCTCTACCACCGCCGAGCGGACAGGTGAGATGACAGACTGTGCGTCCCTGTCCACCACCGCCGAGCTGACAGGTGAGATGACAGACTGTGCGTCCCTGTCCACCACCGCCGAGCGGACAGGTGAGATGACAGACTGTGCGTCCCTGTCCACCACCGCCGAGCGGACAGGTGAGATGACAGACTGTGCGTCCCTGTCCACCACCGCCGAGCGGACAGGTGAGATGACAGACTGTGCGTCCCTGACTACCAACTGTGCGTCTCTGTCCACCAATTGTGCCCCCCTGTCCGCCAGCTGTGCGTCTCTATCCACCAACTGTGCGTCCCTGTCCACCACCGCCGAGCGGACAGGTGAGATGACAGACTGTGCGTCCGTGTCCACCAGCTGGGCGTCCCTGTCCACTGACTGGGCGTCCCTGTCCACTGGCTGTACGTCCCTGTCCACCACGGCCGAGCGGACAGGTGAGGCCCCTACCCCCCCCCCCCCCCAACTGAGCGTCTCTGGGAGCCCTCCAATTCACCGTGCGTCCCTGTCCACCAAATGTGCATCCTTGTCTACCACGGCCGAGCGGACAGGTGATTCCCCTGACCGCGCGTCCCCGTCCACCGACTGTGCGTCCCTGTCCACCGGCTGTACGTCCCTGTTCACCGACTGTGCGTCCCTGTCCACCACCACCGAGCGGACAGGTGAGGCCCCCCCCCCCCCCCCTACCCTTCAACTGTGCGCTCTGTGACCCGTCCAACCGTGCTTTCCTATCCACCTACTGTGCGTCCCTGTCCACCGGCTGATGTTCACAGACGGGGATCAGCTATCTGGGCTGCTGCCTGCTGGTCACGGCAAGTATGCTGTCTGATTGTTGAGCCTTACTTTTTATGTTCACTGCCCGTACTATTTTTTGTGTAAAGCCAAAATGGTATGCACGATTGAGAATATATGCTGAGGAGTTTCCGTTTTTGTTTCTATCACATGTGAACGTTACCTACACGGACCGCACTGCATTCGCATACATGGCGCGATCCACAGTCTCCTACTGCCCCGGCGTTCTGACTGCCCGATGGAGACGTTCGCCAGTCTGACAGTTCCTGCCGCACCTGTGACGGTCCGTGCCGCCCCTCTGACGGCCCTTGACACCCCTCTGATTGTCCGTGTGGCCTACCCATGCCGCCCCTCTAACATTCTCTTCCGTTCCTCTCTGTGTGCCATAGACAGCGTCAAAGGCGTCACAGACCCCGCTGACGGACCGTGGCGCCCCTGTGACAGTCCCCGTCTCCTCTGTAACAGACCGGTCCGCTCCCCTTTCTGTGCCACAGACAGCGCCAGCGGAGCCGAGTCGTCGGGCGCCGGCGGCTGCGGCGCCAGCGGCGAGCCCTCGGACGACTCTGGCGACGCGGCCGGCTGGCGGCCCGTGCTGGCCCGCTCGGTCCAGATGCTCAGAGACCAACTCACTACCAGCAAGGCTTGTGATCGCAGGGCGTAGGTGCCCTGCCGCGCGGGCCCGGCCGGCCGCGGCGCGCCCGCCCAGTAGCCGCCGCGCGCCGCCCGGCCGGCCGGCCGCCACTGTATTTATCTATTTTCTTACGTCGCTTTGGAAAGACATTTATGTGATCCGTTTTTTTTAGACTGTCCCGCGATTCATCCTTATTTACGGATTGGTGTGTTTGTTTTTTACTTTGAACTTAGTTTGGTCTTGAATATACGGTTGTTGGCCGTCGTGCGCTGCTGCGATTCGCTGTTTTGCTTGTGACGATTGAATAATAGATGGCTCTCAGGTTACATTGGACATACGTGCTGCGGCAAAAGATGCGTGACAGCGTGACAGCTTCTAGGCGAATGGCTAGCGCCTAGCGACCGGCGAAATCCTTATTAATTCCGAATTTCGATCCACCAAGCGCCCCTCTCGGATGCCTGAAACAGAGATGCTCTCGACTGGGTGAACGAAGACGAAGCTATGCTAGTCTACGTACGAATGCTAGCAAATTTTTCTGGTGAAGGGTCTGTTGCTGGCCGCTGGGTCAGGAGAAGGAGAAAATTATCGTGAAGTTTGGATAGAAGATGCTTAATTTGCCAGCTGTTTGACAGGAGACAGTGCGGCGGTGGCCGGTGGTCGAATCGGCCTTGGTATTGTTGTAACTCGCTGGGCCTTGAGCTCACTTTCCATGGTGTTGCGTGCATCGGAAGAAAAGTGCCTTACGCAAGCTTGCAGCTGTTTAACCCGGCAGGCGGTGGGCCTCCCAGCCACCTTCCGCGCGGTGGGGGGGGGGGGGGCATTTTTTTGCCCCCCCCCTCGTATCTCCGAAACTACTGGACGGATCCGGAAAATTCAAACGGCGTTCGATAGCCCTGTCAAATTTGTTGAAGGAAACCAAATTTCATTGTCCTCGGGGTCACCGATGACGTCACAGGTCAGGTCAAAGATAAAATGTTTCACCGTTCACGGGGCTTCTAGGGAGTGCTATAACACCGAGTAAAACGCATTTTGTCGAAAATCAGCGATAAGGCGTCAGTTGTCTAGTACATATGTTGCTATTAGAGGTCACTGGTCATACCAGGTCAGGTCACAGGTCAGGTCACCAAAGGTCACCAAGGGTCACCACATGAACCCAACTTTACTAAGGTTGTGCGATGCATGTTTTATGGCCAGTTTTTCATTTCCAACTCAATGGTATTGGTTATAAGACCATCAGGTACGGCTTAGGTCACTTTCTGGTGGAGGTCAGGTCAAGGTCAGGTCAAAAAAGGTCAAATTTCAAAGTTGATATTTTTGCATAAAATGGGTATCGATTCGATGCAGCTCGTCACGGGGAGTCTAATGGTGGTCTTTGTTTTGCGCTACGAGGTCTAGAATTGCTAAAAATTGAGTTTGAAAATTAAACTTCATCAATTTTGAAGTTTTTTCGCTATAACTTGGCCAAAAAAAGAGGTATTGATCTGAAATTTTGTATGTAGATAGAAGGCGGTAGGGACTATCACATATATTCCGGTTTTTTTTCGAAATTCAAAAAACTTTTTGGATTTTTCGGCTATTATTTTCAAAAAATCTATTTTTTGATTTTTTTTTTGGGGGGGGGTCAAAATCCTAAAAATTCGAAAACCGAAATAGCATTTTTGTAGCCCTCTTGATTCCACACCTTTTATGTCTGAAACATTTTTCTGTATCTCTAAAGCTGTAGGCCTGACAGCTCTTCCCGCAAAACCTTTTTTTGGGTCGAAAATGGCAAAAATGACGTCACTCTGACGTCATTAGCGGCCAACCTATCATAGCCTTTGGAAAAAATTTTGGTCACCATGTGCGCTAGCTACTCCCGGGAGGGTACTGAAAGTTTGGTGACGATCGGCGCAGCGGTTCTCGAGATATATCGAAAAAACTAAAGGGGGGGGCAAAAAAATGCCCCCCCCACCGCCTGGAAGGTTAAAGGGACCCTCCCACCTTAACATTAGTTTTGAGTTGAGATAGCCAAGTTTGCGGCCAGGCTCAGAAACCACCATTTATCCTGGTCGCAACCCCCGCAGCTTTATGGTGTTCAAGAAATTTCTTCCCTTTACTTGCAGGGTGGGACCAGCGTGGTCCCTATCTCTTAACCCTCGCCCGCACATGCCATTTTCCCATCCTAGAACGCACATGGGGGGGGGTGGTTGCCACCCCCCCCCCCCGCGCCATTTCGTTCCTGTTGGAGATAGAGCTTAGCGGTAAAGACCAAAAAGATTCTTTGGGAAGAGACGAATCCAATGATACCCAGTTTTACCTTCTCAGGTCAGTCATTGACCTTCCAGGTCAGGTCAAACTAAAAAATGTTGCTGTTTTAGGTCACCGTTGGATATCAAGCGCGCTGCTTGTCGTATACCGATGACGATGCCGTTTTCTGGTGCCAAGCCAGCTAGAACCTCTTTGTCACACTACCCGACCAGGTTTTTGCTGCTGAGGTCATCTCAGGTCAAGTTAGGTCAAGGTCAATAATATGTGTTTGTATGTCTGTGTGTGTCTGTGTGTATACTGATGTGTGCACCGATTGTTTATGTGTCCATATTACATGAAATCATGATCTGAGAAGCTTTTAACAAAAATGTAGTCAAAAAATTTCAAAAAAAGTAAATTCAGCTTGCCTAAAACGCAATTATCTTAGATGACCTAGGTTGACCTTGACCCTGACCTTGACCTCTGTACATCGTCGAACAACATGTTTCATGATAGGTGGGAGGTAGGATTGGCATAAAAGGCCGAAATCAAGGTGTTAAAAGCTCACAAGGCCCATAGCCAACGCAAGATGTTGAGAATTGGCCATTTGGGTCATGACATGACCTGAAAAACAAGGTCATATCTCCGAAACCAAAAACCACAGAAACTTGAAATTTTCAGTGGACATCAAGAAAGGATAGAGGAGCAGCTATACGAAAAATCAGCCTTCTAGCTCTAAAAATGTTGAGTGCAGAGCAGAAAGACTACCTGGGGGGGGGGGGGTGGCAACCACCCCCCCCATGTGCGGGCGAGGGTTAACCATTACGGGAATCTGATGACGTCATCAGGCTTTCGAACGTCCGTCATTACTTTTACTAAAACGTTTTGTAGCACGCGGTGGTATATGCTGCTTTGCGCGCAACAAATGCCGCACCTTCAAATAAAGTCGCTAGGAACAGCGGAGATCCCAAAAAGTAAACAGAAGTAAAAGTCTAATATCTTGAAAACCGGTGAATATTTTTCGATAAAATTTGGTAGATATTCGTTTTCGCTCTTTCTGAACCTAGCGACATCACTTTCATGCCAATTCATTAACTTTTTTGAAGGTGGGAGGGTCCCTTTAATTGATGACTAGCCTCGATTTATCACAACCTTGAATGACAAGCCAAAAGCAGCTGAGAGCTATTCAGTTAATTCCGTCGCCTCTGCTCATAAAAATGAAAGGAAAGTTATATGACGTCAAATTCTTTCGATCGACAAATGAGCAACTCGAAAAGTTGGTTCGTGACGTCATTATTTCGAAGAATCCGCACTCTTCTGATGCTGATTGGCCAAGCGCCCGATCAGCAGAAGTTTATGAACAGCTGAAGGACATATCGGAAATGAAAAGGCGAAACTGGCGCGAGGGATAGGTGGGGGGTTTTGGCGAGATTTTGGGCATTTTATATTGAAAAATGAGACAGTGATGTCTTGTGGGTTGGGGTAAGATTCTAGCCTGAAAATCCAGTTATTTGGGTTCAGTCGCATGAAAAATCGCTGGGCCTAGTGTCTCCCTGGCTGCTTGAAACAGGGTGAGTGTTTATCAAACTTTTGCTTCAGCTTGACCCCACAATATGTTGTGGCATGAGGGCACTTTTAGCAATCTCTGGACCCTGTTTCATGGCACTGCGCTATGGCACACTGCACATATTGGTGTATTTGGTTTCCGTAGAAACATTAAAAAGATCAGATGCTGGTAATGCTGCCGATGCTGGACCGTCGAGCCTAATTTGTTTCAAACTCCGCACCAATACAGCAGTGCAGCAGTGCACTGCAGTAAGCAGTGTTGGGCCGTGAAACAGGGCCCTGAACTGGAAGTGACTTAAGATGATAATTGTATTTTGATAGAAAATTCCAACTTGAGTAGAGTTAAATGCTCGATTCTGCTTATGAGTGCACTCGTCAATCTAGATCCTCAAGTGAAGTTAGAGAAGGGCTGAACACAGGCACAAAGACTGCAGTATGCATATGCCATAAATGATTGACCAGCAGGCCAGTAGGAGAGCTAAGTGAGAAATGAATTTGGCAATGTTGAGTGCCAATGAGTCTGTCCTGTACTTTAGTCCATGGAGCTTTGGATTTAGTCTGAGTCTGATGAGAGCACACATCCTGGTTGGAAAAGTTGGGCTGGAGGTGTGACCTGTAGCCAGCTGAAGTTGGTGAGGGGACTGGCCGTAGACAGTGCAGCTGTGTGTATCCACTAAACTTCATGCTCTGAATTCTGCCACAAACCATGAATAGTGAGAGCAGAGGCTAGATGCCAGAGGGCAGGGTCAGCACAAGAAGCCTTGCTTAGCAGGGGCTCTCCATTGGCAAGTGTTACCAGCTGTGAGAAAAATCCAGACTGATCAGGCTATAAATCTGAAATCTGCACTGGACAGGTGACTGGCCTGCAGAAAAGATGGCATGTGAAGTGTAAACTGTACAACAAGCTTCATAATTGGATATATAAATGTACATAACTGGAATTTCTTGTTTCAATAACTTGATGGATAAGCATATGAATTAGGAGTAGGACTTAGTGGTCACTGGCATTTCTTGCATGTTTTATGGCAAGTGATGATTTCAGGGGGTGCTGTATCATTGTCATATATTCTGAGCACAAAACAGTTTGTTTAAATGCTGGAACACAGCTTTATTTCTTCAATTGACTTGTATTGGTGAAGACACTTCACTGAAACATCAGAGCTCATTTGGCCTGTATGAAAATCTGCATTCATCACCAGCTTGTCCCTTAGCTCAGTTTGTGGAGTATTGGACTCCTGGGGGTGAGAGCCCGGGTTTGAGGTGGTCCAGCGCTCGATATTTGAGACCCCTGACAGCGGCTGGTGGGAGCGGCCGCAGCCAGTTGAAATCAGTTGAGTGGGACAGCCCGTGTCTGTGATGGACAGGTTAAACTTGTGTCTAATAAATTCTCCTGTTACCCAGAATTGTGTGGTCGCATGGTAGGGATCAGAGTCTACGCAAGAAGCTCGGCTTAGTGTAGGCTCCGGCTCTGCCAATCCATTCATTCAAACATTCGAGCTAAGTTTATATAAAAAATATAACAAGTTGTGACGACTTGGGAGGTGACTTCTTCCTGTAAGTTTTATCTCCCTGCAAAACTGGTAAACTTTAGTCATTTCCTCAAAGTGCCATTAAATGCTCAAGACTTGTAGTATATAAACTATACACGGTGGTATGGTTGATACTTGATACGCTGTTGCTCTAGTCTCTGCCGATCATATATCCGAGCGTGATCACTGAACTGTAGTGGGGTTTATCAGTGGCACTCAGTTGCGCATTCGCGGGCCGCGGTACTTCACTGCTACTTAGCAAGTACCACCATAACTAGCTGCCCTTCATAGCCTATCTCCGATATCAGAGCAGCTTGCTGCCCTCGATCCGAGACTTTTTGACCGGTGAGAGCATCATGCTGTCTTGCTTTATCTCATAGCACGCTTACAGTGCACCAGGGTGAACAAAACATTGTCAGCGCGCTGATGCAGCAGTCTTAATGTTATGAGTCACGTTCCTTGTTTTTTTTCCGGAATGTAATTGCGTGTATTACGTCACCGGTCCCGTGTGTCTCCGCAGGCCGCAGGGTGCGCCTCCGCCTCTGAAGAGCCGGTGGTGAGGATGTTCCCTCCCATGGTGTCGGCGTCGCCGCCCCCCTCTGACGATGAACTGTCCGGGGATGACGGTGACGAGCTGGGAGTCGCCGACTCCTCGTTCGATATCACAGGTACGCTCCTCGGGATTGAGCGTGTTTGATTATATGTAGGAGTGACCACATTAGCTTACATTGATAATGCTTTTGTAACGCTAGCCAATAGTCCACGTATTGGCATAGTTTCGCTCAAATTGATAAAGCCTTATCAACTTACTGAATGTCCAAACTGCATAATTTGCTCATTCATCAATGTTATTTACCTGTTGCCTCCATTTATATAAAAGTGTTCGTGTCTAAACCCTTTCGATTTCCCCAGGTCTGTCTCAGAAATTGCCGGTGTGTCAGCCGCCGAACCACAAGCCGCCGGCGCCGGTCTCCAGCCGTACCTACTCCCCGGACCCGGCACGGTCGAGTCCGTCGCCGCCGGCCGTGCACCGTCTGCCCTCGGACGACTGGGGAGAGTTCAGCGGCGCCCCGGCGGGCGCAGACCCCGCCGCGCTGGTCCCAGCACCTCCCGCGGCGCCCCAGCAGTTCTCCGGACCGGAGAGGGACGTGAACGGTGCGGAGGACTCGCCGTCTGAGGTCCGCGCGGCACCTGTGTCGGTGGATGCGTCCCGAGCGACCGGTGTCAGGCAGGAGCGCAGTATTTTCTCGGATAGTGAGAGTGACAGTGAGGAGGCTAACGGACCTCAGCGGGGAGGAGAGGCGAGCCCTGCTCCACCGGCGGCGGCTAGTGAGCGTGTGCAGCCCAGTCAGACCTCCGCAGTTATTGGGGATAACGAACCTGCGAGCGAGGCGAAATTGCACCGGGAAGGAGACAGGACGGCATCCCCGACGGTGACGCTTCAGAATGGGACTGACGAGCTTTCCAAAGTGGCAGCGGGTGGCGACTCCGATAGTGACGATTTCGGCGATTTCGGTAGTTTCAGTGCAGCGACTGCGAGTGAATCGGTGACCGCGGTGAATGCAGTGACAGTGGTGAACCCAGTGACCGATCAGTCGGTGTCACTGGACAGTTCCGTGCCTGACCACCGAAGTGACGGTCAGTTTGCCGCGGGCACTCCCCCATCTCTAAAATCAAACTCCAGTAACGGCCGAGAGGAAACCTCTAGTACGGCCATCCGCGTCTCTAATGCCAATCCTTCCGCGGCAGATGTCGGTAGCTTTGCCGTCTCAAATGGACCAGATAATGCTGTGAATGATAGTACGGCAGTGGAAGGCAGCTCAGACCGTATCCCCTCTCCGGATGATGGCGTGAAGTCTGAAGAAGCTGCCAGTCCCTCCGAAACCGTGGATGACCCACACAACGCCAGCCCGGTCCCCGAGACCGCGCCCTCGAGTGATTCGGCGAGCGCACCGTCTTCCCTCGGCAGCTCGCCCAAACGTGCCAAATCGCCGGACAATGTCGAAACGCTCACAAAACTAGAGAAAGCGACCGACGAGAGTGTGCCCGGGGATGACTTTGGCGATTTTGCAGCTCCCGCTGATGATTTTGGCGATTTTACTGCGCCGGCTGGTGACTCATCAGCCCCTTCTGACGAGTTCGGTGATTTTACCGCTAAAACTTGTGATGTTTCTGCGCCCGATGAGAATTTAGGCGACTTTACCGTCCCATCTGATGTCCCCGCGCCGGATAACGATTTTGGTGATTTTACTGCGCCAGCTAAGGACCCATCCGCCCCCACGAACGATTTCGGCGATTTTGCTGCGCCGTCAGGTGACGCCTCAGCACCAACTGACGATTTCGGTGACTTCGCTGCGCCCTCGGACGACTTTGGCGACTTCGCCGCGCCCTCTGGCGACTTTGTCGATTTCTCGGGCCCGGCTGCGAGCTCCGGGGCCGGCTGGCCTCCGGACGGGGCGGACGGCGGGGGAGGGTTTGCCGACTTCGGCGCGGTGTTCGCCGCCCCGTCTACTGAGGCACCGCTGGAAGCAGAGGGTCAGCTGGCCGACCCGGCCTCTCTCAGTGACGACGATTTCGGCGACTTTGAGGACTTCCAGGCACCCGTGCCGCAAGAGCCGGCGCCGATCACTGACGAGGTATGTGTATCGTTGGGGAGACGTGCTGAAATTTTTAGAGGCTGTTTGTGATTGTTACAATGGTGTGGGAATCTGAACAATGCGGCTATTGTTAAGACTTGGTACCTACTTTTTATTGCTTTTCCTTTGTTTGTTGGTGTTTATTTCAACTGGATGTGTGGATTTCTGAACAAAGCAAGTAGATATTGTTAGGTTCATTAGATGCTCGTTCCACGCTTCAAAATTCGCGTGTCATATATTCGTGGATAGTGACATGCTCGAGCGCCTGTTTAGCCGTTGGTACGTCACTTTCCCCTTTTTGGACTATAAAAGATCTGACGTAACCGAATGATGACCGTGGTCCTGGAAATCCATTCCAAGTCCACCAAAACTCCTCTATTCCCTAAAAGGTTCTGTATGCCCCTACCGTTCCGCCGCTCTGCCACTGATTCAGTCCGTCTCACTGATTCTCCCTGCTCCCGCCAGGCGGCGGTGTCGGCGCTGCTGGCGCGCCTGTTCCCGCTCTGTGAGGAGGACCGCGAGCCGGCCTCCATCCCGCTGGACGCCGGCGGCGTGTGGTACCAGCTGCGGGAGACGGACGCCACGCCGGCTCTCCAGTACCGCTGGCCGGCCGGCCGCAGCTACACGGCACTGCTGCACGCGCTCAGAGTGGACGCCAGCAATATCATCGTGAGTGCGGGCGGGCAGGGGCGGTTAGTTGAGGATAGGGGTGAGCCAAACTGTGGCGACAAAGAGCATGACATATTTTATTGGTGGTGGATGAAATTGGGGATATGTTAGCGCATTTAGACATAGACATAGACATTTATTTCGCTCAGGATCCGACAATTTCGGGTTTTCACTTGCGCACGTCCGGTTGGTAAAATTGCACTAAAAATAGGATAACACATGTACCACACACCAACATCCATCCGCATAAAATTGGAGACACATGCATACACGCAGCTCAACTCTTTAGTCCGGTTCACGCCGTACAAATCGGTAGAGTGCTTTCCTGAATGAGTCGTGATCTCTTCTGCCCTGGCACACATCATTGTACATTTGTACGCCACTATACTCAAGCTGGCGCCTACCAGTCTCTGTTCGAATGGCTGGTAGTCTCAGCCGATTGTTCTGTCGGGTCTGGTGGTCGTGTCCGTGTTGGCGGTCTGCGTCCGTGATAATATCGTGTAATGCCTGGGGAAGCTCTGATGCCAGCACTTTGCTGACCATCTGGACGCGGTGGTATTGAGCAAGTTGAGATGCTGTTAGCCATTTGAGGTCTTTGAGCACTCCAGAAATATATTCAAACTTTTTCTTTCTGCTGACCACTCTCGCTCCAAAATGTATGATTTTCTGTATGCGATGGAGTTCTGTTTTTGTGCACGTGCCATAGATGGACAAACAGTATCTCACGGCAGACATAACCAGAGATTAATAATAACGTTAATTCTCATTTCAATATGACTGTGGACCTCGGGATCCGAACGTGTTTGGTGATAAGAAATTATGCGACAGAACGACTCAGTTATTTTGATGCACTCACTTTTAACCTGTCGAGGCACTCACTCATGATATTTTCTCAAATGATAGGCGGTTGCTTGAGTAATATCGTGCCTTAGCTACTGTCTTTAAATATGATGTCACGGTCGTCAATTCTCATGGTGCTCACGCGTCATCACGCGTAAACCTATCGATAGTTCATTGTGCGTTCATTAGGTGGTGCCACGCCGCGCTGCTATCTCCGGTGAGCCAGTCGCGTTCCAGGTGGGAAACTGATCACTGCGCTCATCCCTCCTGATTGAGCGCCCCGTATCAGAGAACTGCTCTGTCTGGTAGCGGCGAAACCGTCCAACAAACGGGCGCGGATGATAGGATGGTGGGCTGGGGCTCGTCTGCCGTTTTAAGTCGCAGTGAACTCGATGGTTGGTTGTGATCTGTTGCTTATCCCCGTGCTTGTACAAGAACCAGCGCGTTGTAACCGGACGTTATCATCATTGGATCATCATTTCTTACGATCGCGCTGACCGTCGTTAGCGGCTCGCCCCAGCGACCGTGACCCTGTGCTCCCGGGTATCCGTGGTCTCTGACGGTCTCCGCGCGGCCGGCGCGCCTCCGCCATGGGGTCAGATTGGCCGTGTCGTCAGCCACATCATTTGTCACTCGCGGGGTTTGATGAGAGCCGCCGCCCGGATTCCGGACCGTGATGTGGCCTGGGGTCAGCGGGGTAGGGGCAGGCGTGAGGATGGCGCTAGGGGAGATAAGATTGAACGTGGAGGACTAGTGGTATTTGTGTACGAGTTTTGCACGGGAGGGATTTATGTGTAGGCATGATTCGTATGGTCTGCGTGCTGTGGTTTCTAGCCTATTTTTTAATCGTGTGTGTCCCGGCGTTTTGCAGAATTTCGGCGGCTGGGGCGGCCGGCCGAGCCGGTTCGGCCAGCCGCTGGGGTCCGACTCGATCCTGCAGCCGGTGAGGGCGGTGCTGGAGCCGACGCCGGCAGCGCCGCCGGCACCGCCCTCCCAGCCACCGGCCCAGCAGCAGCAGCAGCAGTCGGTGCAGCAGGAGCAGCAGCCGCAGCAGCCGTCACCGCCGGCCGGCGGCGAGGTACGGCGGCCTCATTAACTGATCAGTGGGAATTCTAGTCTGATAGTCTGTCGTGGTTAAATGCTGGTTAGATCTTTTTTGTTGGGTAAGTCAGCGATGTAGTTTAAACTCCGTAACAGGTAATACTCGATGTATTAAGTATCTGTTCACATCACATGCTGTCATTTTCTTCGAAATGTACTCTCCTGACCATTTGTTATCTGATTTGATGATATTTATGATAGTTCCTGATTTAATGGCCCTTTAGTCGCCGCGACCACAACTCCCAACTAGCAACTGAAGGTGGTGGTCTGAAATAGTATTGGTTTGTTGCAGGTTCCACCGGCTGCGTTTGACTGGAACAGCGCCGGCCTGAAGAACCCGCTGGACTCGACAGGTATGTGCTATCCCTCTCTTCCCCTCCCCTGTCGCCTGTCGGACCAGCCGCCACGGCAGGCCCGGGTCGGCCAGGGGGTGTTAGCTAATGCGGCCCGCCCGCCCGGCTGTGTCGGCCGCGGGGCGTTCCCCTGTCGTGTTAGCGTGTCGTGCGCCGTGACTGCCGATGGGGTACTGATGACCCGGGGACAGAGGTCATGGGTGACAGTGTGTCGCCGTGATAGCGTGTTAGCGGAGCAGTCCGTGATCCCTCGGGGTCGGTGGTCCTACTTACCTGGGGCGACTGGGAACTATAATTTTAGTGGCAAGGGTTATTCCCATTGTCGAGGACTTACTGAGGTTTGAATAACAATTTCTCGATTCACGTGAGGGATTTTTGTTTAGATGTATCTCTTCGCGCCATTTATCTTTCCGGGCACCTCAAAGAAGCAGAAGTCGCTCATTGCGATATTTTCAAATAGGTGTGATTGTTTGCCTGCATTTAGCCATTCCAATTACCGAACAGGCATCTTGCATCGAAATGCCTGCTTAGGTAGACTGCAATTTTCCCGGGTATTTTTTTTTTCTTGCGCCGGATTCACTCTAGAAAAACTTTACCATGACATCTGCTTAGAAATCTGCCTGACAACTATACCTCTGAGATAGGAAGTGGGTGTAAAATTGTTTACCGCCGTTGGTAAGTTTACTGCGTAGGTGCTAGGAATAAGCCAATACTATCTAGCTGGCTATTTTGAGCAAAGGTGTTTCTGGTGATGGTTGCGGCGGAATTTTCCAGGTAAGGCTTGTTTGCATTGTCGGCTGCTGCTGCGGTGAATGGGCTGCTAACTATGTGTATCTGAACTTAACGAACTTCAGCTCTGTTTGGCCTCAACTAATCGCTTATCGATTTCCACTGAGGATTATTTGACCGACATTCTTGTAACCCGGACTTCGGACGATTAATGTTATACTGCCAGCCATGAGATTGTGTCCTGTCTCACCTCTACCGATTACAATCATTCCGTACCGGAGAGGTCCTGAAGCACGGCCTTTATCGTTGAAATGTTGTTCCTCTGATCCCGCGGTCCCTCGAGATTTCATCGCTGGCCGAGACCATTCCATTCGTCGCAGGTTATCGGTGCTCTTTTGCGTCATACCTACTTATGCCCGATTACCTCCTCCGAACTGATAAAGGAATACTGTTACTGTCGACATATTCCCAGATAGATGAAATGTGCTCATCGCCCATCTGTCGTCACTCATGCTCTGTCGTTTCCGTCCCCTACTAACACCCATCGGTGGCCGGTACTTAACCCCCCCCCCCCTCCACCTGCCCGCTACTAACCCCCACCGTTGCTGACCCGCACCGCCCACTACTAACCCCCACCGGTGCTGACCCCTCCCCCCCCCCGCCCGCTACTAACGGCTTCAGGTCCGGAGAGCTACGGCCTGCTCGGTCTGGACATGTTTGACACGGACACGCGTCCGGTGGCCGCCTCTGACTCGTTTCTATCGTGTAAGTGCGCCCGGTGGGTCTGTCCGTCTCCCGTCTGTGTTCGTCCGTCTGCCCGGAGTCTGAGAGACCGCCCGGAGCCACCCCTGTACCGGAGACCGGCGGTGCTCCGTCTGCTTCCTGTCGTATTCCGTTCTTTGGGAATGTTTTGATGTATCGCCAGTCGCCTTTTCAGTTGGTGATGTTTGTTCTGTCTTTGGATGACGGATTATGTTTCTTTTTTATTTTGATGCATTTTCTTTCGTTCCTTTATGTTGGATTGACGACGGTTGACATATGGTCATATTCAATCATTTTTGTCCATGTCTGCCCGGCATGCCAGTGCTGCTGCAACTTCCATCGCTCCACGTGATTCTATGTTTCGTTCATGTTTGTTTTCGCTGCATGTGACGAGCCTGACACCGAATCAGCGGATACGGTGTCCATTGTTTGTTGGCATTTTGTTGTACTGTTTCCGCTAGGCTGGTTTTGTTTGGTCGCCTGTCTGTCCCTGAATATGGAACTCGATTCGCCCATTCCAGCGTTGGATATTTACTGAACTGCGGGTCAAAAAGCCGCACAGTTTGTAGTTAACTATGAATGCGAACTGCTTAAAGGGACCCTCCCACCTTAACATTAGATTTGAGTTGAGATAGCCAAAATGGGGTCCCTGGCTCACAATTACCGGTTTCGGCACTCACAACATCGAGAAATGCCTTAAATCGGAAATAGTGAATTTCAAAATTGCAGCATTTTGATTCAGAGGGGCTAATGCATAGGAATACCCCTCTGAATGTGTGACGTCAGCGCAGATATCTAACGATTTTTAAATGTTTGACTAAAACGTTTTGTAGCACGCGGTGGTATATGCTGCTTTGCGCGCAACAAGTGCCGCCTTTTCAGCTGCCAAACTATTGCTTCCAAATAAAGTCGCTAGGAACAGCGGAGATCCCAAAAAGTAAACAAAAGTAAAAGTCTAAAATCTTGAAAACCGGTGAATATTTTTCGGTGAAATTTGGTAGATATTCGTTTTCGCTCTTTCTGAACCGAGAGACATCACTTTCATGCCAATTCATAAACTTTTTTGAAGGTGGGAGGGTCCCTTTAACGTCAGGCTGGTGTTTTCAGTGATGTCGATCTTCTTAGCTTGTGCTCTGTGTGCTTTATGAATGTTTTGTCCTTAGTATTTGTGATATTTGACTTGGCTATTTTGGTCACCGTCTTCCGTTAATTTGCATCTTGAATGTCCATTAGGCATGCCGTAACGCCATTCATGCCAGCTGACCCCGGATATGTTTTTCGTGCGAGCGTCTGTCGGCCGTACGGACGGAGCACCCTATCCGTAATTCATGTGGCCGGTGCATGCACGGCTTCGCCCTCAGTTGCATGTAGCTCTATCTCGTGCCGTCAGCGCGTTTCGCGGTCGCCACCCCGGTCCTAATTTGATGTGTCGTCGGGCAGGACGTGTGACCCCCGTCAGCTCGGGCCGGGCGGGCGACCCCTGTCAGAGCTGGAGGTCGCCCCTCCCCACTGTCACTGTCACTGTCACTGTCACTGTCACCGCTGTCACTGCCACCAAATGCCAGTTCGGCTGACGGAGGCTCATGGGCATGAATTAGCCAATGGGCTGCCGTCAGAGCTGTCAGCAAACTTTTTTTTTTCACATTAAAATAGTTTATTCAACACGACTCAACAGCACCGTTCATTCAGACACAGTATTGGCTTCGTCCACGCACAGGTGCAGGCCCATGCGGCGTACAGAAAAAAAAGAAACAGAAACATCCTCACGACATTCGCAAAACACCGCCGGCATCCGGCACCATCGCCAAGCGACCGCCGCAACGCGCGCGCCCGACGCCGCCGCGTTCCTGAGAACGATTTATCCCTGTTTACCGCACAAGTGATTCATTCAGAGATGAGTCCTTAAGTCCGTCCAGATTAGTTTGAGAGGTTCGTACCATGATGCCGTCCGTCCGAGTCCGTCCGAATGAGGCCAGGAAGTCTGTCTGCCCTAACAGTACGCCGGGCGGCCTGCCCGGCCGAGCCGGGACGGCGCTGGAAATCAGCGGAGACCGTCCCGGTCCCGGGGAGGACTGCGGTCCTCAGCCGCCTAGCCGAGGGTCCTCCCCAGCCGGGAGGATCAGGGCTCCCCCCGGCGCTCCCGACAGGCCGCCGGGCGTCAGCTCCCGCCCGCACCGCCCCGGCGCAGGCACTGGGCGGCGCGAGTCCGGGAAGACTGTACCAGGTGGATCCAGATAAGAGTAAACCCAATGGGCTAGTCGCGCCATCGCGACGGAGGGCGCAGTATGGGCGCCCAAAGTTCATCGCATCTAGTCTTCCTGTCTGTAATTACACTTATGTATTTTTCAACTCTGTAAACACGGAATAATACCTTGGCCATTTCTTCAACACTTGGCCGATTTTTGTTCGACCGACATCGCCAAATATATTGTTTTGCGATCAATATTAAAAGTTGTATTGACTCTGTAGACATGCTGGGAGATCCATGCTCTAACTTATTAAGAATAACACTAACTCTGTCCAACAACGTTATACTATAAACACGATTCATATCTCGCCAGAATGTTTGAGCTACTTCGCACTCCCAAAAAACGTGGAGAAGACTTTCTGGGACCACAGGACAATAGTAACATTCGTTTGAATCCACTATGCCAAAAATTTGCAGCCTCTTATTTGCTGGAAGAATACGGTGGATTAACCTCAATTGCAACCAGCGTACTGCTATGTCATCCGTTGTTTTGTACAAAGCATCATACACTTTGGTCCACTGCATATTGGCAGGCAAATTCAATTCTCTGGCCCATTTTGAGTGACTGATTTCTGGCTCAACGCAAGTTTTAAACAACTTATGGTAAGCCCATTTTGCCACGTGCGTGGCTGATTCTAGCTCTAAAAGTTCAGCTGAGTAATTCTGAAAAATCGCGGGCTTGTCTGCTATAAGAGTCAGTTTCCATTCGTTTGGGATAGAGGTTAATAATGCCAGGGCAGATAGTGGATGCAACCCGTATTTTGAACTTAGCTCTCGAGCTGTATACATTGATCTGGTTTGAATATTATATAAATTTCCGATGCGCACCACATTGTTTCTTTCCATCAGTCTCCATTCGTAAACACCAGATGCTTCGAGTTTAATATTTGCGTTTAAATACAGGACTTGACTTAACACCGCTTCCCCTGGTAACTTGGCCTCCTCTGGCCTCTTTATTACGTTCCACGCTAAAAGCGCTTCTCTCCAGAATGCGCTTTTCACTTTTCTCTGGATAACCTCCGGGGACATATTACATTCAAAGATATTGAGATCGTTTGGCAACGAAAATATAGGCTTCACTACATTTTTCCAGCTCGACTTCAGGTCATTATCAGCGTACTTTTTTATCCACATTATCTTTAGACTATCTGCCCGGCAATTGATGTCTGGAACTTGCAGCCCTCCATGTTTATATTTACTTTTTAACGTGGCCCGCTTTATTTTGTCTTTTTTGTTCCCCCATATAAAATTGAATATTATT